GGGTCCTCACTTTCAAGTCACCCTATGAGATACTTTTTCAGTCACCACCTTCCTATCATCTTCTTAAATCATTTGGTTGTCTTTGTTATGGTAGTACCTTACCTCATTCCAGATCCAAACTTGACCCTAAAGCTTCCAAATGTGTCTTCATTGGCTATCTTTTCAATAAAAAAGGGTACAAGCTTTTAGATCTTACTACTAAAAGAATTTTTATCTCCAAGGATGTCATGTTTCATGAATCATTTTTTCCTTTCTCTCCTTCGTTTTCTTCTATCTCTTCATCCTCTCCTGTTCCTTCTCCTCCTCCTCTACATCTAGATATTCATCCCATTCAGTCAGATACACCTCCTGCTCCTCCTCATATACATCCAGATATTCATCCCATTCCGCTAGTTATACCTCATGTTCCTCCTCCCACGTCTCCTCCTTCCGCTGTTCCTCTATCCTCCTCTTCTCCTTCTCCACCTACCATCACTCTATCTCTCTCTTCTCCTCCTCCCATTCGACATTCCTCTAGGACTTCTCATCCTCTTATTCGTCTTGCCGATTATATATGTAATTCTGTCTCTTTCACTAATGTTACTTCTAGTTGTTTTGCAGCTCCTCTCACTCCTTCTATTCTTTCTTTTTCTGCCTTATCTCCCTCCAATCAATCTTTTTAAAACTTTGTTGCTCATATTCCCGAACCCACTTCTTTTTCAACTGCTTCTTTACACCCTTGTTGGCAGGATGTTATGGCAAAGGAATTTGAAGCTTTGCAACTCAATCACACTTGGGATTTGGTTCCTTTACCACTCGGAAAACGAGCATTACCTTCTAAATGAGTTTATAAAGTAAAATATAAAGCAAATGGTTCTATTGAAAAGTATAAGGCTCGTCTAGTGATTCGGGGTGATGTTCAGAGGGCTGGCATTGATTATACAGAGACTTTTTCTCCTGTGGTCAAGATGACTACTGTGAGATGTCTACTAGCTGTTGCTATTAAAAAGGGTTGGGATTTGTTCCAATTGGACGTCAACAATGCTTTCCTCCATGGTAATTTACAAGAGGAAGTCTATATGAGAATCCCTGCTGGTTTACAGATTTCTGGTTCTAATCTAGTTTGTAAACTCAATAAGTCTCTTTATGGGTTAAAACAGGCCTCTCGTCAATGGTATGCCAGGCTCACTACCGCCCTTCAATTCAAAGGTTATCATCATTCTTTGAATGATTATTCATTATTCTTCAAACCGACATCTATTGGTATTTGCATCCTCGCTGTTTATGTCGATGACATTTTAGTTACTGGGGATGATCTGGATGAAATATCTTCCTTAAAGTCTTTTCTTCATTTCGAGTTTCAGATCAAAGATTTAGGCCTTGCTCATTATTTTCTTGGTTTGGAATTGATCAGAGAGGAACAGGGGTTGATTGTGACTCAGAGACAATTCACCACTAATCTCATTTCTGAGTTTGATTGTCTTGACAAGAAACCTGTTGTTTCTCCTTTGGAGCCTTCCACCAAGCTTCGTGCCTATGTTGGTGATATTCTTCCTGATCCGCTTATTTATCGAAGACTTGTCGGCAAGCTCAATTGGCACCAATAATAGATGTTTTTTGGCTCAATGAAGAATGAAAAAATATCACATTCGGTAGTTAATAATGAGATGGATGATATACAAGGTTTAGACAATATTCTTCCTTTGAGCTAGTATTTAGGGTGTGAGTTAGGTTCAACACCTAATTTACATGGTATTAAAATAGAACTCATATCTCCTAATGTTGGGACCCCAAATTAAAAATTATATTGCTCAAGCTTCATATATCCAGCCCAGGCATGAGGTGGGGTGGAGTGTTGAAGAATGAAAAAGTCTCAGATAGTTAGTTAATGCAATAAATAATATCTCATATATATGTATAAGGTCTGGACAATTCTCTTTTTTTATCTAACTTTTGAAGTGTACGAGTTAGATCCGAGATCTAATTTAGAGCAATGAAAATATCATTTTTGGTAGAGTGGCTGATGAATTTTGCTTTAGTAGGCTTATCACGTCTTGGTGGATTATGTCACATATTTATATCTGTATGTATAATGAAATTTATTGCAAATTTAAAATGTTAATGACATGTTAAGTATAAGTGGCTGATGCTAATATGCTTTTAAATTTACGGATTACGCTTCACAAAAAAGTGTGAAGACCAGCCTAATCCATTTATCATGGAATTAGTCTTCTTGATAATTATTCTGACATATTAATGTATACATTTCCATATTTGCAAATTGCACCTTATCAACTTGATTTTAATCAATTTTTTTCTTCAAAATCATCGCTATCAACGATCATATATGGAAATCAGAAATTGCTATATATCAACTCCCTCCATTCATGTTCCTCTTAATGTAACAATATTTCCTTATTAGTCCGTCTGAAAGAAGTGTATATTTTAATTTTTGAGAATAATTTAATTTTAAATTTTTTATATCAAGCATGTTTAAGACTACAATAGTTTCACAAATCAACAATTTTTTTGTTAAATCTCAAATAGTGCATCATATAAATTGAAATGAATGAACTATTAAATTCAAGTTAAATTTGAGGGGCGAAAGATACAATTGTTATAGTGATATTTAATGTTGAAATATATTTTTTTAGCAGCAATATTTATTTCTGCAAAAACATTTTGCGGCAGTTGAGTTAGTATCATTGCATTCAAAGTCGTTGAAGCCTTTAGCGGCATTTATATAAAATATTGATCATAAAATACTCATATTTTATTATTACCACTAAATATGATATAACTATAATTATAAATCATTTATTTGTTATATATAGTGGCATGGAATAATTAAATAGTGTGTCCAAATTAATATTCGCAATAGAAATATTTTCTAGTAATGCCTAAATTTGTGTATAATAGTATTGTCTTTTGAACTTCTTTTTTCCTTTAAATTGGATAAGATTTATTCCATTCCCTTTAAAATAAAAAAGGGAAAATGGTGGGAGACAATAAAACGACGAACCTTTACGAAAGAGTACTTTTTTTTTTTTTAATCGTATGTACAAAGCTTTTCTTATTTCACTTCTATGTTTTCTTTATCGTTTTCTTCTTCTATTACTTAACATATTCTCGAGTTGAATGCCTTTTGAAAACACTCTCTATCTTCATAAAATAATGATAAAAGCTGGGTATAATTTATCATTTTCAAATCTACTTGATAAAACTTCGAATTGAATTATGTACATTCTCAATTATTGAACAAAACACTATAAATTATATTTTGGTTATAAAATTAGAGTAAACAAGAAACAATACAAAAAAATGAGAGGTCTTGGATTTGATTCTCTCTGAATATTGAGTTGCTTTTTTAAGGAGCACTTTAAAGACTTTTTGGTGCAAATTCGAATTTAGTCGAGTACAGTGTAGATATCTGATACTGGATGGAGACAAGAAAAAAAAGGCAATAGAAATAGAAAAAAATGAGCTTTTTTTTTCTTTTTATTCAAGTGGGTATAATATAAACTCATATGTTTGTATTTATAGTACTGTTACATAAAGACATTCATACAAAAGATAGTCATAAATATGATGTATTAACCAAGAATGTTGAAAAGGTTACGAAAGTGTGAGAGATTATTACAAAGATTATGAAGGTGGAGAAGTAATTAATTACGTAATAATGGAAATTATCGTATACCTTAAAGTAATGGACATCCATTAATATAATAATATAATTAACAAGATTTTGTTATTTTGGGGGTTCTCTCTTTTCTTGTACAGGTTGCAACTTGCGACAAGAACAATTGGAAATTGTCACGGAACACTACGTAACAGGCAATTCTATTATCTATAATAGTAATAAAGTTGGTTCCGTCTATCAGTGGCAAAGCTAGAAATTTTACGATATTCAAAATTTTAATGTATATCTCTAAATAATTTATTTTTTATTTATATACACAATATTATTTTCTACTAGCACAAATCAAAATATAATTTTTCGACAAAAAATATCCAATTATCACTCCTTGGACCAATATAGCTATGCCACTACCGTCGACCACAAAATAGCTTTTATTACTCGTGGTGTTATAATGTTATTCTATACGTTTGAAACAAAAAAAATAAATTATTATTATACATATGACATATCGCTTGCTTGATTTTTATTCTTTGTAAAAAGGTTACATAAATTATTTAGACTTCATTCAATAATAAAATAGTTGATCATTTCATGTACTTTTTGAGGGATATATGGGAAAGAAGTATTAATCTCAAATAGTTTTATATTATTGTTCAGAATGTAGTTATTAATTACACCACCAAGAATAATGGTGATGGGTTGATTTATGCTGTGATATGAAAAGCTAAGTAGTGAGTTAACACGGTTATAATTAGTTAAGGGTAAACTAGTTTCCATCAGTTAGTTATAACAACCTTCAGAATGTTAGTTAAAAGAAGGTTAGTTACTAACAGATAATGTGATGTATAAATAGTCCTTCTAGCATTGTAATCTATTGTTTTTTTTTTATCAATAATAGAGTCTTCTTCTTCCCTAGATATTTTCTCTCTAATTTCTATATTCCTCTTTTACGATCATGGTATCAGAGCAAGGCCCGTCTCACCCGAAGTTGGGACCTCCAAAATCAAAATTGTCCACGAACCAGATGCTAAGCACCGGGCGTGAGGTGGGGTGTTAAAGAATGACAAAAGGCCCACATCGGTGGTTAATGAGATGGGTGGACTCCTTATAAGGTTTGGGCAATCCTCCTCCCTTTGAGCTAGCTTTTGAGGTGTGACTTAGGCCCAAGACCTAATTTAACATGGTATCAGAGCTCTCTTACCAATAGCTACTGGTGAAAACGAGTTGGATCTAGAATCAAAGGATCATTGTAGATCCATTGATTCATTGTTGCTGATTTCTTTCAACGGTAGATTACAGTTTGAAATTTGCATTTTTTTGCTTCCGCGAAAAGAGATTCATCAAAGCAGTTCCAGTCAGGTGTTGAATCAGAGTTTGATCAATGGCTCCTGATAATGTAGCAGTGGATCTGGCTCAGAATCTCAATATTAGTCAAAATGTTGGTACATCTGCTCATAACAATGGCAGTTCTTCTTCAAATCAAGGTATCGACTATAATCACCCTCTGTTTTTGAGTCCTACTTATATCAGTGGGATCAACGTGATTTCTTTTCAATTGCTTGGTATTAAAAATTATATGTTGTGAAGTAGATCGATTCAACTAGCTTTGTTAAGAAGAAACAAGTTAGGGCTGATTGATGAGAGTTGCAAGAGAGAAGTATATGGTGAGGAACTATGGGGACATTGGTAAAGTGTTAATGTTATAGTGTTATCCTGACTAATGAATTCTGTTTCTAAAAGCTTGTTGAGTGGTAGTGTTTTTGCTTCAAGTGTTTTAAATGTGTGGAATGACCTGAAGGAAAGACTCGATAGAGTGGATGGATCTAGGACATACAGTTTGCACAAATATATAGTTTCATTACAACAGGGTACTGCTTCTGTATCTGTGTATTCACAAGACTTAAGACTTTATGGGATGAGTTTGAGGTGTTGGTACCATCTCCTTGTTGTAATTGTGAAAAATCGAAAGGTTTTGTGGAACATATGAATAGACAGAAATTATATCAATTCTTAATGGGATTGAATGAATCATATAACCAGGCTAGGAGCCAAATTCTTATGATGAATCCTTTACCATCCATTAATCATGAATATGCTATGATTATGGGAGATGAGAGTCAAAAAGCAGTAGTTCATACATCCAGTAGTAGTTTGGGACTGAGTGCTATGAATATGGAATCTTTTGCCTTATATTACAAAGTTCGTAGTAGCTCAGGGGTGAGTCAAAGGTTCAAGAAGAACTCTCTGCTAGTTTGTGATTTCTGCAACTATAAAGGACACATCAATGAGTTTTGTTACAAAATTGTAGGATATCCACCTGACTTTAAGTCTAAAAAGAAGAGTCAGGGAAGTGAATCTGGACAGTACAGTCAACCTTCAGTAGCTCAGGCTCATTTCTCTTATGGTTCCAACACAAATGTACAGGTTCCTGAGTGGGGAAAGAAAGTTGAAAATTCTCCTTATCATAACTTTGGTGGTGAATCTATAGCTGAGAATACTAAAGCTAATATGCAGTTAAGTCAATCTGAGAAAGATGGCAAGCAACTACTTCAGGGTGCACGTTCACAAAGGATAAGTATGATCACATTCTCATAATGTTTAAGCAGCAAAAACAAGAACAAGCTATACCTGATTGCAGTGCAGTGAATACTGCAGGTAAAGCATTTTTTGTCTCTGCAAATAATAAGGTGTGGATTATAGATACGGGTGCTACAAATCATATGGTGTCTAACTTGGAAATGTTGTCCAAGAATTCTGTGACAAAACTTTATACTCTTAAAATTGTTTATCTTCCAAATGGTGATACTACTAAAGTGACTCATGTGGGTACTTGTGATGTGTCAGCTAACAGTGTCATTACAAATGTGTTTCACCTGCCAAACTTTCAACATAATTTGTTGTCTGTAAGTAAAATCACAAAGGAATTAGGATGCTCAGTTACCTTCTTTCCTCATTTTTGTGTTTTTCAGGAACTTTACACTGAAAAGGTGAAGGAGGTTGGTAAAGAAGAAGGAGGATTGTATTTGTTGTTAAGCCAGTTGACACATGGAACTGAAAGTGAAGTGAAGAAGTCTGTTTGGGCTGTTCCTAGAGTGCTCTCCAGTATAGAATTGTGGCATCAAAGATTAGGGCATGTGTTTTCTATAGTACTTGCTAGAATGTTTGATATGAATAAAGACAGTATGTGTAAGGTTTGTAAATGCACGGTTTGTCCTTGTGCTAAGAAGACAAGATTACATTTTCCTTCAAGTAGTATTAAAAGTAATGTTTGTTTTGACTTGATACATGTTGATGTATGGGATCCTTATAACACACCTACCTTTGGTGGTAGCAAGTACTTTCTCACAATAGTGGATGATTTTTCAAGAAAGACCTAGATTTTTCTACTCAAACTTAAGTCTGATGTGTATGTGTCTCTTAAGTTGTTCTTGCAATATGTTAAGACTCAGTTTGGTAAGACTGTTAAAATGGTAAGGTCTGACATTGGAACTGAATTTCTTAACTCAGTATGCAATACAATGTTTAAAGATTTGGGAATTATACATCAGAGATCTTGCCCCTATACCCCTCAGCAAATTAGTGTTGCTGAAAGGAAACATAGGCATATACGTGATGTTACAAGAGCACTCAGGTTTGAGGCTAAAATTCCTTTGACATTTTGGGGGCATTGTGTTCTGGCAGCAGTATATCTGATCAATAAATTACCAAGTAGTGTGATAGATCACAGACTCCTTATAAGAGATTGTATGGGTGCTCACCAGGTCTGTCTCATTTAAGAACAATAGGTTGCTTGTGCTTTGCTAAAAATCTATGTGAACATGATAAACTGATGTCCAGGTCAAGATCAACTGTTCATATGAGATATTCAGAAGTTCAGAAGGGGTATGTACTATTTGAAATAACCAATAGGTCCTTCTTTGTCAGTCGATATGTTATTTTTAGGGAAGATGTCTTTCCCTTTGCCTAGGAGAAGGAGAATAGCCTGAACACTCACATTGTGTTTGAGGACACTGTCCAAGGATTATGTGTGCTGTATGAAGATTTTAATCAGTTCTCTCATATGCCTGAAGTAGAACAGGTACAAAATGGAAGTGCTCAGGTTATTGATACCACTGTGTGTGACTCAACACAGGATGTTGTCCAAGCACCTACTAGAAGGTCCACTAGAACTACACATACTCCTAAATGGATGAGAGATTTTGTCTCATTGAATATCAGTAAGGATGTGCAATATCCATTATGCAACTACATGAGCTATGATCACTTGTCTCCTTCTTATAAATGTTATATTGATGCTACTTCAACTGTCCAAGAACATGTGTCCTATGCAGACACTATTAAAGACAAAAGGTGGGTAGAGGCCATGCAGATTGGGATTCATGCTCTGGAGACCAATAACACTTGGGTACTCACTGACTTGCCAATAGAAAAGAAACCTATAGGTTACAGGTGGATATACAAAGTAAAGTACCAATCTACTGGTGAAATAGAGAGGTTCAAAGGAAGATTGGTTGCTAAGGGCTACAGTCAGCAAGAGGGAATAGACTATCAAGAAACTTTTTCCCCTGTTGTTAAGATGGTCACTGTGAGAACCATAGTGGCTCTGGCTGCCTCTAGACAATGGCACATTCATCAGATAGATGTCTTTAATGCCTTTTTACATGGTGATTTAGAAGATGAAATTTACATGCAGTTACCTCAAGGTTTTGTTAGTCAAGGGGAGAAGGTGTACAGACTGACAAAGTTTCTTTACGGACTCAAACAGGCTCCAAGAAAATGAACCATAAGCTAACAAAATCTCTCATCAAACTCAGTTTTAAACAGAGTCCACATGACTACTCTTTGTTCATTAATAGATCATAATAACTGGCAGCAGTCTGAAGATGATTGAAGAGACAAAGAAATCATTACAACAAGCATTTAAGATGAAGGATCTAGGGGAATTGAAGTATTTCTTAGGAATTGAATTTATCATGTCAGCTGATGTCATACTTATGCATCAGAGGAAATATCCCCTGAAACTTATAACTGAAGTTGGTCTTTCAGCAGTAAGGCCTGCTGGAACTCCCATTGACATTAATGTCAAACTAACATCTAAGTTGTATGATGATCATATACATAAAGGACAGGAGGAAGATCCCTTAGTAGATGTAACAATGTATCATATGTTGATAGGGAAATTATTGTACCTCAACATGACCAGGCCTGATATATCCTTCAGCACTCAGACCCTACGTCAATTCTTGCAACAACCATAGAAGTCACATATGGATGTTGCACTACGAGTGGTGAAATATCTAAAAAGACAACCTGGACAGGGAGTATTATTAGCCAGTTCCTCTGATCAAAAAGTTACTGCATTTTGTAATGCAGATTGGGCATCTTGTCCACTTACCAGGAAGTCTGTAACTGGATAGATGATCAAAGTAGGGAGTTCTCTTGTGTAATGGAAAGCTAAGAAGCAAACCACAGTTCCAAAAAGTTCAGCAGAAGTTGAATACAAAAGTCTTGCATCTATGTGTCTGAACTAGTCTGGCTGCTTGGATTATTAAAAGAAGTAGGTGCTGAAATACAATTACCAGTTCAGATATATTGTGATAGTAAAGCAGCAATACAAATTGCTGCAAATCCAGTGTATCACGAGAGGATCAAACACATTGAGATCGATTGTCACTTTATAAGAGAAAGGTTGCAACATGGGCTAATCAAAGTCAATTACATACCTACCAAAGAACATCCTGCTGATATAATGACTAAAGGACTATCCAGACTGCAGTATGAACATCTTATATCCAAGCTAGGAATGCTAAACATTTTTGCACTACCTAGCTTGAAGGGGAGTGTAGTGATATGAAAAGCTAAGTAGTGAGTTAACACGGTTATAGTTAGTTAAGGGTAAACTAGTCATTTCCATCAGTTAGTTATAACAACCTTCAGAATGTTAGTTAAAAGAAGGTTAGTTACTAACAGATAATGTGATGTATAAATAGTCCTTCTATCATTGTAATCTATAGTTTTTTTTTATCAATAATAGAATCTTCTTCTTCCTTAGATATTTTCTCTCTAAGCTCTAGATTCTTCTTTTACGATCAATTTCATTCTTTAAGCAGAGGTTATGGATTCTTGAGAATAGAATTTTTTTGATGAAAAATGATTTTCTTTTCGATAATTTTTATATGGTATGAATTTAGATTAATCAAACTTGGGAAGACGCATTAGTTGAAGGAAGCACAATGCATTACATTGAACTAATTTTGTACTGTACATCTAACTGCGGGCCTAATTTTCATTACTTTAATTGGCTATAAAATTTTCACAATTCTTTTTTTTCTCTATTAGGGTTTTTATACAAGAAACAGATCGAAGGAATATATTTCATTTACCTTTTTTAGGGTGGATCCGACTTTGTGTTCATTACCTAATAATAAAATAATATGTATTTGATGTGATTTGCATGCATCTGAGATGTTAGATACATAGGAGAGTGGCGAGCAAGATGAGAGGGAGACGAGCGAGATTTGTTATGTATCTCAGATACATGCAAATCCACTTGGATACAATGTATTTAGAATACATTACACCTAATTTTGATCTCATGTATCCTGAGATACATGTATCTGGACGCACCAAAATCTGATAAAATTTGTAATATTGCAGACTAAAGTATCAAGTAATTAGCTTCTAAGCTAATGAAATTTATGTAAGCTAACCTGAGAAATATGTAGTTAACACACACTATTAGGTACATTTTCACGGTAAAAATCTACTTAAGTACTATTTGCAATTAAAATTTTAAAACAAATGAGAACTCGGAAATAGAATATCAAATACAGGAGGAAGTAATATTTTATATATATATATATATATATATATATATATATATATATAAGTACTATTTGCAATTAAAATTTTAAAACAAATGAGAACTCGGAAATAGAATATCAAATACAGGACGAAGTAATATTTATATATATATATATATATAACGTATAAACCATACATGATATCGTGATTAGTAGTATTCCAAATAAATTTGGAAATCATGTAACTCCTAGTTACTTTGTAAATATGGATCACTAAATCACAAAATAGTACATTACATACAATTGGACCATGAACATGTAGATATAGAGTTAAGGCCCAGTTTTTAAAGAAAACCTTGCAGAAAAGGGCACTCAATTATAAGGATTAGTTTAATAGCACCCTCCAAAGTATTAATGTCTTCCCACTTTTAAACTTGAGAGTTAATTTGGGAATCTTCAAGATTTTTAGCATCTTTACCCTCTCCATTTTCACTGTCCAAGGATGAAATATTAACTGGATAAACTTCGCAATTGACTTTTGTGGGCTGCTCTTGATCCACCTTTACCACGGTGGGTAATTCTTTTTCTGTTGCGACGTTGTTTGACTTAGAATTTCTGTATATTCCATATAATATCATTTGGAGCACTCCAAGTATCATTCCCGATATATTTGGTACCTGATTTTTTATTATGTGCCGGAAGAACAACAATTAGAAGAAAAACCAAACATTAGTCACATGAATTTATGGGGCACAAATTATGTTAAGCCAATTTAACTTATAATCCTATTAGGTTATATATCTAAATAATAATTATATGCATGTAATTGTTTATCCTAGATGACATTTAGTGTGTTTATGCGACATTTTTCACAGATTGAGAGTCAATTTGACTAATCTTCGTGTTAATTTGGATCAACTCAACATTTTAAAAATTAAACTTAGATTTTTTAAAAGTAACACAAAAAGTACTAAGACAAGTATCAATCTTTCTCATTACAGTTCAATGAAAACATATATTTTTAAATGACGATTAAAGCTCAAATAGTTTGAATCTCAAAAAATAAAAAGTGTCACATAAATTATTATCAAGGGAGTATATATTTACCGCGACATAGACGTCCTTCAAAAGCAAACCATACAAAAACCACATTACAGCACTAACTGTAAGAGCTAATGACAAGTTAAATGGCATGAATTCCACACTTTTGGTCCTTATTACACGTCCCTGCAATTTTACAAAAGAAAAAAAAACAGAATTAAATGGCGTTTATAATTAGAGAACTGTCAAGGGACTAAATAACTAAGTTATCATAATTTAAAATTTAAAGAACGCCGTAAGCCCCTAACTATAAAAGCATCAAAAGAATCATGACTTTTGAACTTTCACCTTATTAGTGAACGTTGGATTAACCTACCCTATTTTCCGTAAAACGAAAAAATAATATATATATATATATATTCAAAGTGAATTACCATAATGCTTAGAGGAGCAACAAATACACTGATAGAAAAAGCCATGCAAATCCATCCAATAACTTCAGTTCTTTTTGTTCCTTGGCATAAAATTTGTGTGACGAAAAGAATCAATCCAAAGACACCAAAATTCAACAGTAGGACAAGTCCTAGTGTTTTCATCTGCAAGACAATTTCAAATTTCATAAATCACAAAATCGCGTTACAATTAAATAGGCACACATATATGAAATTTTTATGTATATATACCCTTGCTTTTTTTGTAGCGTAAGTAAAATAAATCGCGACGTAAATGGTCTCAGCAATGCAGCCAAAAGAGTTGATGGTGATGAGAAGTGTAACATTGGTTTTAACCATTGCATAGTAAATCCAAAGCATTGCACTAAATAATCCAACAACATATGGTAATGAATGGAACCCTTCTGATGATTTCTTCTTAACGATCCTGTAAAATGTTGGCCTGCAAAATCATGATATGTTAAAATAAAAATAAAAAATCTATATGTGTAATTATTTTTGGAGAAATAACTTACACTGGGGCAATAAACACCATGAAGGAAACTAAGTTACCTGCAACATTGTCACAAATGGAAAAGACATATTAATTACTTCTCCTATATATATTTCTCAAACAAAAAAAATTATTCTATTTTAATGCATGTAATTATAATTTTATCTATTTTGAGGTGTTAATTTCTTAGTAAGAATTAGTTTAGATATACTTCCTTGATCCAACTAGATTGTTATTTGTAAGAGCATATTAATAGAAACAAAATAGAACCAACTTGCTTGAAAAGAGTAATTCTATAGCTAAACAGTAAAATTGGTTGCTGATTCTATGCTACAAGTGAAGTTAATAACTAATAAACAAGGCATGCACATGAAAATATGATTGAAAGTTTACCCAAAATGCCAAAGGTGAAGACCAAAGGATGAGTATGAGAGACACTAGTCATTTTTTCTTTTCTTTCTTCTCTTCTCTAAGAAAGAATTAGAATTAAAATTAAGAGTAAAATGTAAAGGCTAATTAGTGTTTGTTGATGATAAACAAGGATGATGGTCACATATTTATAGTACATGAAGAAGATTTGTTACTTAAGCACGACAAAATGCTGACACTATATATTAGTCCCCACTAACTAGAAAAAAATATAATTAAACTAGCTGGAAAACTCCCATCTCCTCCGCAACTCTAGCAAAACTAAATATTAAAAATTCGTTTAAGCACCGTCAATAAACAGTTTTCACACCATTAGACAGTAATAGTTAGGTAATAACAATATTTAAAATTCTATATTTTAAGATAGATATTTTTGGGTGATAGTACATGCAAATTTAAACTCTTTCATCAACTTCAAAAATAAATATTCATTTTTAATATATCAAAAAAAGATAATTATGTTTTTTTAGTTTCTCAAATCGTTTATTAATAAATATTCATTTTTAATATATCAAAAAAAGATAATAATATTTTTTTTATTTCTCAAATCATTTATCAAGACCTGAGACTTAAGTTCTACGCTTTGATCAGTAAACAATACTTCTTTTGTTTTCTTTTATTTGTCACATTTTGCTTCACGAGAGTCAATTTAACTAATCTTCTAAAAGTAAAATTGAATTAGATAAATTCAATATTGCAAATTTAAAATTTAGATATTTAAAAATTATATAAAAAATTTCATAGCAATATAATAAAATAATACATCTTAAAATATTGATCAAAATTCATACCATTTAACTTTTTAAAAAACAAAACGAACCACGACAAGTAACAGGGCAGAGGCGGAACGGGGGGGGGGGGGGGGGGTTGTAAATCGGGTCATTAATTAGGTAATTATAAATTAAAAAATAATGAAGATAATTGATAATTTAATAAAAAGTACAAAAAAATTATTATTACGGTTTAAATTTAATAATAAATAATAATATAAAACATCTTTTAAGATAACGATGCATGTAACTTAATTCGAAAAAGGAATGGGACATAGCATTTCATGGCCGTCTATTTTTGGACTGAACTTTTAGTCCATTGTATTTTCACCAGAAGCTTACAGTTACATAGGAGATCTAATAACGGAAAGAGAAAAAGAAGTGGTAAATACTTACTCGATATTTACGTTAAATCAATTTAAATTATTAAAATTGAATAATTAATTAAATAAATAAAATACACATTAACTAGTTATAATAAAATAATAGTTATGTATATTCTAATATATATATCATATATATATCTGATATGTTGATTTAACGTAAATACTTGATACGAATAAATTTTTACTGAAAAAGTAAAGCCATAGATCTTGGTTGTTAGATAAAAGTGTTTAATTAGACCTAGGAACTTTTTAAAAATTGGTGCTTTTAACCCAATATCTAAGCTAACCTAGTCAGCTTAACATCCCTTTGATAGAAACTATGCTGGATGGCAGCACTTCATAACCTTGTGTTTCCAAGAACAAAATGACAAAAACATCCCTTAATGATGGGATTAATTAATTAATTAATTAAACAATTACTTAAACATAATTCTAAGTAACTTTGATCTTTTAATTTCGTTGAAAATAATGGTCATTTTTTATTTTGTCAAATAGACTTTCTGTTGAAAATGGTCAATTGTCACGTACTTGATGGCAATATAATTTGTTCAATTAGCAAAATAATTATGTTAAGTATGGAAAATTAGCTAGTCAAACAAATGAAATAAATGTGTTAGCTATAGACACCACAAAAGAACTTGTCAAACAAGTCCAGTGTGTAACGAATGATCAAGTGATATATGGGTGGCTCATTAACGGACAAAATATTAGAATATCGTCTAATGTTCACAAAATTTTAGGCTATGATATAAAATTTTCAATTTAATCAAAAATGATTCTTAAATTATAGATCGTTGTCCAAAAAGACCTTTAAATTGTAAAAAAAGAATAAGATCATTTACTATATAAATAGCTGCCAAAAAAAAGCTCGAGAAACTTTTTGGTGATATATATTGTATTCAATGTGAGTGTGACATAATTAAAATTCTCGTGATAGTTTAACCATTTTGTTATTCATATCCAATATGGGCAGATTAGATATTTTATTTATTTTCAAGTGATTTACTTTATTAGTTAATATGTGCCTATTTACCACCCCTAAATCCTAATTGTATACTATCTTGTTACAAAATAAGTGGTCATTTAACCTTCTAGATAATACCTTGCAAAGTGCCGATTATTTAGATGCATAACATTCTTTTACGAGTGATCACACATTTTGCTCATTTCTTTGACTAGCTAGTTTTCCATGGTTGACATGAATCCCCCCCCCCCCCCCCCTTTTTTTTTCTAAGTGAATTAATTATATCAATTAAATAAGACATAATAATTTATGAATAAGATCTGAGACTTAAGTTCTACGCTTTGATCAGTAAACGATACTTCTTTTGTTTCGTTTTATTTATCACCCCTAAATCCTAATTGTATACTATCTTGTTACAAAATAAGTGATCATTTAACCTTCTAGATAATACCTTGCAAAGTGCCGATTATTTAGATGCATAACATTCTTTTAGGTGTGATCACACATTTTGCTCATTTCTTTGACTCGCTAGTTTTCCATGGTTGACATGAATTCCTTTTTTTTTTCTAAGTGAATTAATTATGTAATTCCATCAATTAAATACAACACAATAAAATACAATATAATTTTATGAATGAGATCTGAAAAAAATAGTATATACGTAATTTTATTTTTAACTATGTAAAATAAAGAAGTTGATATCGATTGATCCTCAACATTAATCCTCCTCTTTTATTCAAATAATGAGTTTGATACAGATAATATCAATGTGTTTCCCCCATTAGAACGTGACACAATTAATTCAACACGAAGTCTATTCCAATCTTGGATTAAAAGAAAAAAAAGTAACACATGCATAATAATTGCATATATACAGTACTAGTACTTATTTATTATTGACTGTCAAATTGAATGGACAGATATTATACCACCTTTTTATTTTTTATTTTTTACTCCAATAATTCAGCACTTTACGCCTATTTCATACTCTCTTTTTTTAATTGTTATTACTTTTTTTTCGAGACCCTTCAGACACATAGCAGTACTCTTTTTAAAAAAAAATTATATATATGAGTATTTATTTAACATTACTTGAATGCCCCTATAACTTGCATCTTTCATTAGCAAAAAGCACTATACAATACAATATTAATGTACCTACGATACAATATCTCTTACGGATTATTTGGTAAAGTATATTAGAAATTAAAAAATAATGTATGTATTAGTTTTCTGTATTATTAGTATTTTATTTGGAACATTTTTTTAGTCTACGTATCACTAGTTGTGCACTTTATTATGTATTGATATGTATATTACTAATATGAGTCTGGAGCCAAAAGGATAAATTTTTTCCTTCAAAAAACAAAAACGGCACATCAAAAAAAAAAATTAATCAAAAGGGAAAAATCGCTACTGCCGGAGCGATTTTCTTCTGATAAAAATTGACACCGTTCCGTTAAAAGAAATAAAAATCGATTTTCTCTAAAAAAAAATTCTTTTTTTCTTTAAAATCGCTGCTAAAACAGTGTTTTTATAAATTAAAAAAAAAAAGTAAAAATTTAAATAAATCACTGCATTTGTAGCGATTTTGATCATTTTTATTTATTTTTTTAAAAGTTAAATTGTTGCTATAGGTCAAATCAATTATTTATTATAATATAGTTATAATATAAATGCAGTGTACTTATAGATTTATTTTAATTTTTAATTTACAAAATGCTAAATTATTTTTTTACTTTTTAACTCACTTGAATGGCAGCGATTAAACTTCAAATTTCTTATTTATTCGATTAAAATGCTAATCGTTGTCAGGGCAGCGATTTATGTAAAAAAAAAATTAATTTCTAAAAGAAATCGCTGTTATAGCAGCGATTTTAAAGAGATTTTTTTTTTTTTGAGAAAATCACTGATTTTTATTTCTTTTAATGACGTCAATTTTTGTCAGAAGAAAATCGCTCCGTCAGGAGCGATTTTACCTTTTGATTTTTTTTTGATGTACCATTTTTGTTTTTTGAAGGAAAAAAATTACCCTTTTGGCTTTGAATTCTTACTAATATCATGAATATGCATGTATTAATAATACAAAGGGTTTGATGTACCGTTTAGTGTGAAGAGTATTTTACTAAAAAAACATATTTTCTAATAGAAGTTATGCAAAGTATTTTATGTTTAATACACGTAATCAAACACTGCATAAGAAAAATATTAGTATAATTAATACAAGCATTACTAATATATTCTATTCAACATTATTTTTATACACTCTATCAAACGACTCCTAAATATTTGACTATGTACTTACAATATTGTAGATAACTAGATATCAAAATTTTGTGGACTCTATGAGATGAATCCAATTTCAGCTAAGGTTCTTGGAGACTACTTTACCTTAAACCTTGGTTAATATAATGCTTATATACAGGGTAATATATTCTTTAAAAAAGACATCTCGAATATCCCATAAACTCTTGCAATATTTACAAAAAAATCAAGATATAATCGGACTCTTCTTCACAATCAAATACATCAGTAGATACACAAAGAGATCCAAATAATTCTACATTCGAGAAATATGTAATTAACGTCCTCAAATCAAGGAGAAAAATTCAGAGAGAAGAATCAAAGAAAAATATATTTATTCTCATATTATTTATTAATAAAATTATAATTTCTTTATAGTTACAATTTATTTTCTATCACTCTAAAATCGATCGTGAACACCTATATATCTCCTCAAATTAAGTGTTCCAAACGAACTTATAAACTGTCATCAGCAAAAGGGTATTGCGCTTTATCTCTATATTGCTTTTTAAATGTCACCTGTCATTACCCAATTCATAAGTTACAGACTTTGTGTTTGTGGTCGTCACATGTGGAACCACATGATCTCATCATTAAAACTCCTT